CCCCCCAGGCAGCGTCCTTCCCATGGTCGTGTTCCAAGCGGCCGGCCCAGCGACAACGACCACCTTACTCGAACACCGAAGCACTTTGTCCGAACTCTATGACGCAACCTTCTGCTTCAGGTTTCGAATCCGCCAGTCGAGGGAACTGAACACTATCATTTCGTACGCGCTTTCGGACGAAGGGGATGAGATCAATTTGAGTGAGTTATTGTTGTTTGTTTGTGTTTGTTTGTTTGTTTGTAGGGGTTTTCATGTGTGTTTGCTTGTTTGTGTGTGTATGTTTGTTTGTTTGTGTGTTTTCATGTGTGTTTGCTTGTTTGTGTGTATGTTTGTGTCTCTGTGTGTATGTGTTTGTGTGTGTGTGTGTGTGTGTGTTTGTGTGTGTGTGTTTGTTTGTGTGGTTTTCATGTGTGTTTGCTTGTTTGTGTGTATGTTCGTGTGTGTATGTATGTATGTTCATGTGTTTGTGTGTATGTTCATGTGTTTGTGTGTGTGTATGTTCATGTGTTTGTGTGTGTGTGTGTGTGTGTTTACGTGTGTCTGTATAGGAGTATGTGTCGTTCCAGTTTTAATCTATCATCTGTTAATCTGCTTCATCTGTCTGTGCGTGAGATTAATCGAAGGCCAGTGCATTGGGCTCGTACGTAACCAGTGAATGAATGAGACCGCAGAGAAGACCTTATCCAAATCCACCTCAAGTCCCACTCCGCCAGGTCTGAACTACATCGACGGCTCCTTCGTGTTCCTGTGCTGCCAGGACTGGGTGGAGCTCGAACTGAAGCTGCCGGTGGGTCTGCGGGAGTGGATGAACATCTGCTTCGCCGTGGAGCTGAGGGAGAAGCGGTGGACGCTCGTCAAGAACGGCGAGACGCGGACGGGCCGGATCCAGGGGGGCGCGGCGGTTGCCCAGCCGATCAGAGGCGGCGGGATCCTGGTCATCGGGCAGGACCAGGACTCGCTGGGGGCCGGCTTCAATGAGTTCGAGAGCCTCTCCGGCTGGCTGGTGGACCTGGCCATCTACGATCAGGTGCTGACGGCCGCCCAGATGGTCGACTTCACCACCTGCATGGACATCACTCCGCCCGTAACTCCGGTGGTTGACTTCTCGGACATCCAGCGGGACTTCGAGGTCAGGAACGTGGACCTGGACACCATTGGGAAGCACAAGACCTGCGAGTCCGACAGGAACTTCAACCTGATCTTCCCGGAGCTGCGCGTGTTCGAGGACGGCCGCCTGCTCTGCCACATCGTCGGCGGGAAGCTATCCGTCCCCAGGAGCGCGGACGAGAACGTGGAGCTTTTCAACAAGTCCCTCCCGATCCAGGAGTACTGCGGCGACGGGTACGCGGAGACGCTGTGGCTGGGCGTGACCGGGGACGTGGCCGAGCAGAAGTGGCGCCACTACGCCACCCGCGACCCCCTTAAGTACTCCAAGTTCGGCCCCGACTCGGACTTCGGGATGCCCATCGTGAGGCCTGACACCTGCGTCGCCTTCCGCGGGAGCAACGACACGACGGAGGAGGACTTCGGTGTGTGGGTGCCCAGCGACTGCGACCTGGAGATGTGCCCCGTGTGCCACTTCGCCCAGGTGGGCCTCATCCGGATGCGCGGCCTCTGCAAGGAGTCGGAGTTCGACCGCGACTACTTCCTCACGCACGACCAGGGCTCGCTCTCCTTCACGGGCGTCCTCTACTCCGAGATCGTCAAGAACCCGCCGGCGCCGGAGATCTCCAACTCCGACTTCGGCTTCTGGACGCTCACCCGCTTCGACAAGCCGCACGTGACGGCGGTCCTGCACATGACGTCGCCCACGCACTACCCGCTCGGCCTCAACACGTGGCTCGTGGACAACGACGTCTGCGGCAAGTCGACGGTCCAGCTGATGATGACGTCGTGCAAGGACGGCCAGTTCTCCTGCAGGGACGGCACCTGCATCATCATCCAGCAGCGATGCGACCTGGAGGCGGACTGCCCCGACGGAACGGACGAGGTCGACTGCGACTTCCACTCGGTGCCCAAAGACTACGACAACAACTCGCCGCCCTCGAGGCCCGACCGCACGCAGCCCATCCAGGTCAAGCTGTTCATCACCATCCTGTCGATGCGGGGCGTCGACCTGTCCAACTTCGGCTTCACCTGCGAGATCGAGGTCAGACTCCAGTGGACCGACGACCGCCTCAGGTTCCACCACCTCAACTTCGCCGAGACGCTCAACATCCTCGACGGCGAAAACATGCCCTGGGTGCCCAGCCTGGAGTTCCTCGGCGACGGCGACACCACCAGCACCGTCGTGGAGCGGAGGCGCGCCGTCAGGGTCAGGCGCTTCTCCGAGAGGCCGCTGCCGGACAACGACGAGTACATGTTCGAAGGTAAACGGCAGGAGGCGTCGGAGGGTGTAACGAGGAGGAGGATGGGAAATAATGGGTGTATAATGATGATGATGATAGGGAATAATGGGCGTATAAGGATGATGAAGATGGGAGATAATGGGTGTATAAGG